AGCCCACTGGAACACAAACGACATTACCACAACCCCTAGGAACTAGACATGGGGCTGGCTGAAAACTAACACCATCTCTGTCCCTCCTTCCCGCAATGCCTGAAATTGCAAGGCTGGTTACCAGGAATCACAGTCGAATTTACCTTATTAAGGCACTGCGTTGCTTGGACAGCACAATAGATGAACTTTGTTGACTAAAACCATGAGCTAGCCTTGCTTCAGCCCTTGTTTTCCTGGCTATCCTTTTTTCCTCCCCCTTGGAATGGCCATATTTACTCTATGCCAGTGTATTTTGAAAATACATAAGGTTTTTGGTGTTGTTTTTGTTTTTCTTTTACAGAGGATTGTTGCTCAAATTCTAAATGGTCTTATAATAAAAATCTGGGAAGCTGGACAGTGGTGGCACACGCCTTTAATCTCAGCACTCAGGAGGCAGAGCCAGGTGGATCTCTGCGAGTTCGAGGCCAGCCTGGACTACAAATCGAGATCCAGGACAGGCACCAAAACTACAAAGAGAAACCCTGTCTCAAGAAAAACCAAAGCGCCAGGCGGTGGTGGTGCACACTTTTAATCCCAGCACTCGGGAGGCAGAGGCAGGTGGATCTCTGTGAGTTCGAGGCCAGCCTGGACTACAGAGTAAGTTCCAGGAAAGGCGCAAAGTTACACAGAAAAACCGGTCTCAAAAACAAAACAAAACAAACAAACAAAAATGATAAAAACCCGGAGTCAGATATTGGGGTAAATGCTGAAAGATCAGAGAGACAAAGGAACAGTCCCTTCTCACCTTGCCAACTTCACGAATCCTCTGACTGAATGTCTCTGAGTCCTCGGCCAAAAGGGGTCCAGCCGAAAAAAGGCTTCAGCTGAAAAGGGCCTTAGTTCCTGTCTCCTCACGCCTTATATACCTTTCTCCACCCAGCCATATCACTCCCTTCTTAGTGCTGGGATTAAAGGCATGTGTGCTTCCCAAACACTGGTAGCAAAGGCGTGAGATTTCAAGTGTTGGGATTAAAGGCATGTGACTCCCAAGTACTGGCTTGGTTTCTCTCCTAGGCTAAATCAATCTCATGTAGTCCAGGGTGGACTTTGAACTCACAGAGATCCAGATCTCTGCCTCCTGAGTGCTAAGATTAATGGTATGTACCGCCACTGCCTGGCCACTATGTTTAATCTAGTGGCTAGTTCTGTTCTCAGATTTTCAGGCAAATTTTATCAGCATACACAATATATCACCACAGAGGTTCACAGTTAAAAGATTGCCTGATTCTTGGGAAAATTCTTTTGGACTTTGGATTTTTCTTAAAAGATGTATTTATTTGTATTTTATAGGTGAATGTTTGTCTTTTTGTATGTATATGTATCACATGTGTGCTGTGCTCAGGGGAGGCCAGAAAGGGGCGCTGAATCCCCTGGAACCACAGTTACAGTTTTGAGCTGTCTTGTGATACTGAGGACCAAACATGGGTCCTCAGCAAGAGCAGCAAGTGCTCTTCACCACTGAGCCGTCTCTCCAGCCCCAAGATTTTGGACTTTTGATCAGTGTTGGAAGTCTTAGGACTTCGGAGACTTTTACATGAGTAAAATGCATCTTGCATTTTGAAATGGCCATGAGCCTCTGGGGCCAGGATGGAATGCTGTGGTTTGAGTATGAAATGTACCCCCAAACTTGCATATTTAAACACTAGGTGCTCGGTTGGTGGCATCTCTTGAGAAGCTGTGCAGCCTTTTGGACATGGAGCCTACATAACAGATGTAGGGTCTTATGGTTAGGGTTAAGGGTTCTAGTCCGGCACACTTCCAGCCTGAGCCCTCTGCTTCCTGCCCTGCAGAGATGTGAGGGAACTATACCACAAGATCGGGCAAACCCAGACTAGAGTGAGTCCAGCCACCTTGCCTTCCCACCATTATGGACTGTACCCTTTATACCACGAGCCAAAATAAGTCCTTCCTCCCTTATGTTTCTACCACGTATGTTTCCATAGAGACGAGAAAAGTAATTAAGACGGTGGCTAAGAAGTCAGACCGTCACATTTGTCATTTTTAGGCTCACCATAAGATCCTGTCACTTGACAGTTGCTAGGAGAGAGGACTCATGGTTCCCACTAAATGTAGAGCCATCAACATCCCTGCATGCTTTGAGAAGAATCCAAAGGCTCTTTGAACTAAAAATACAACCATCGACGTCTCTCCTCACCCCCACAACACCCGGAATCCCAAAGAATAGTTATCAGGAATCATTTTTACCTCACTGAAGCACTGGGTTACTTGAACAGCGCAACAATGAAATGGTCTTTGTTGACATGACTATCCAACCAGAACCTACTACCACCTAAGGAAGAGCTGGAGAGTGGACCTTAGGGACTGGAAAATCAGAGACGGAAACATGTTTGACACAAGGGGGCAGGAGAGAGCACTGAGAAGCCAGGGTCTAGGAGGCTGTACTTGGACTGGGAAGCGCCTCTTTCTAACAGAGCTGGGTAGTCATAGGTAGAGAAGCTCCCTATATGAGAGATCAGATTCTGATTCCTGGTTCTTTCATCAGCTTCTAAGGTTGTCCTTACTTAATTTAGGTAATTTTGAGCAATGTACTAAATCTCTCCACACTTTTTATCTGTGGAATGGGAATTATAGGCCCTTCCTTGAAGGGCTATTGGGAGGGCTGGATAGGTAGCCCAATAGATAGATACTTGTCTAGCTTGTGCAAAGTCCTGGGTTTAATCCCCAATGCCACATAAAGCCAGATTTGGTGATGCATGTCTGTGAGCCCAGCACTTGGGGAAGAGAGGCAGGAGAATCAGAAGTTCAAGGTCATTCTGGACTACATAGAGAGTTTGAGGCCAGCCTGAGGTTTAAGAGACCATGTTATGTTTTGTTTTATTTAATTATTGTGAAGATTGAATGAAACTGATGTTTCTCGTTGGTATGGTACAGAACACATGGGACTCACTCAAAAAATAAATGTGATTCTAATAGTTATGATGGAGGTACCTGCTGCCCTGTAGGACTCATTGATGGTCCAGTTGATTTGCCTTCATCTCCTTGGAGATTTCTATGTTTGTTTGCTTATTTTTTTTGTTTTTTGTTTTTTGAGACAGGGTTTCTCTGTGTAGCCCTGACTGTCCTGGAACTCACTCTGTAGACCAGGCTGGCTTCGAACTCAGAGATCCTCCTGGCTCTGGCTCTTGAGTGCTGGGATTAATGGCATGCGCCACCACTGCCTGGCCCTTAGAGGACTTCTCAATGGACCACTTCTGTGAGGACAGGATTTTCCTGTCCTGGCTGTGTTCCATTGGTGCCCCTCTTTGGATACTTGTGTTTGTTTATGTTCTATACTTTTTGTTTCCTGGTTATACTGTTAATTCCTGGAGGGAAGAATTGATATCTGACTCATTTTCCTCTTTCTGACTTTGCCCAAAACCTGTCCATGGTAGATGTTCAATAAACATAAATCTTCTCCGTGGATGAATGCAAACACGTGTTCAATCAATTGCTCTGTAATCCAGTAACTTTCCTCAGATATTTGTCCAAATGGCCCAACTGCTGCTGTGCCAACTTAAGGAGACAAAACTCCGGACAGTGGAGCAGCCAGCACACGGATGTGAGAACTGTGTGTTGCTTTGGGTGGGTTCTCCAGCAATGCCCAGCACAGACGAATAAGCAGCAAACTCCCCTTGAGAAGCAGTTTGACTGGCCCAGGTGGACAAAGGGCCAAATTCTAGACCGTAGATTTCAGCTCAAGTGACTAATGCTGATGATTCATGGAAAGGGAAGAACCACCATGATTTCATAATTATTGGAGCAAGAAAGGGATCAGAGTAAATGGTGTAAAATCACCATTTGTGTAGAACAATGTTAGTCTTTCCAAACGATTCGACTTTAATGGTTATATTAAATCTTTGATCATCTGGGCAACATATTCTGGTAAGATACAAATTGTCACAAGGCGTGACATGCTATGAAGAAGAGTGTGACATGGACTTCCCCTCATCTTCCCTGTTCTGAGTTACTGACTTCACATCTATCGACAGACATCCCTCTATAGTGAAGTGTCATTTTAGAAACCCAGCTGAGTGCCAGGCATGACTTATGCCCATAGAGGCACCAGATGGGTTCCATGGAGAATGTGATTGTGGTGTCCTTGGCCAGCAGGTATGCTTCTGCCAGCTCCCACTGCCCTCTCTCCCTTTGGCCTATTCACTTCTTGCTGAGATCTTCTCTAAGATGACACCTTCTCTGCAAAGACTTCCCCGAGAGCCCACATTGACATGATAGCCCCTGGGGTGCTACTTTGAAGCCATCTTACTTATCCCCACCATGCCCTGAACTTCTTGGACAACCCGAGAGTTCATGGTGGGCGGGGAGGATTGTTTCATTTCAATTTACTTTTAACCCTTAGTGATAATCACAAATTCCATATTGATATTTAGGTAGAAGAAAAAGCAGAAAAACGCTAAGAAAGTAGAGAAGAGGCGTGGTTCAGTACAGCAAGGAAAAGCACTGTGCTTTTGAAAGCATTTTCCCCAGGAGGCCTGACTCTTACTTAATAGCTATCCTAGTTCCGTCTAATCCGGGAGGAGGTGTGTGCATGCCCACGTATGTAGAGAGAATCAGGTAGGGTAAGAGTACTAAGTTATCAACCCAGAGGCTTTATTGGTAAAGCAAGGGGGGTTGGGTTGTCAGGGTTTTCTCTCCCTCAGAGGTTCTTCAGGCATTACCCCATGCCCAGCCCAGTGCATGGTCTTTGGCCTTTCACCCAAGACCAGAACATCACACTGTACATTGTTTACAAGTAGAGGTTACCTGTAAAATTCCATCCTCGGTCACAGGGATGAAGCATTTTCCAGGTTGTAATTCCTAGGATTTGATAATGGTATTGGAGAAAACAGTGGGATGGATGACACTGAGTATAGAGCGAAGACATTGGTATGGGGACTTAGTGGCATGCATGTAATATAGTCTGTCAACTGTGACTCTCAACACTCTCTTTGCCTCCTCCTCAGGGACCCACTCTCTGAGATATTTTCGTTTGGCTGTTTCGGATCCTGGTCCCGGAGTGCCTGAATTTATCTCTGTTGGGTATGTGGACTCACACGCTATCACTACATACGACAGCATCACTCGAAAGAAGGAGCCGAGGGCTCCCTGGATGGCAGAGAACCTGGCACCTGATCACTGGGAGAGGTACACTCAGCTGCTGAGGAGTTGGCAGCAGACATTCACGGTGGAGCTGAAGCATCTACAGAGGCATTACAACCACTCAGGTGTGATTGCAGCAGATGAGCACTCTCCCTCACTGAATCCTTCCCAGGAGGCCCCGGCTGCCGATGGCCAGGGTGATCAGTTGCTCCTATCCTCTGTAGTCTTTGGCAAAACCCAGAAAATCAGTTGGATGGGGTTCAGTGCTCACCATCTCCCCCATGGCTCTTCCACACTGTCCTCTATCCCTTGTCCCCATATTCCTAGCCCATTAGCACCCAACAAGTTTCTCTTTTCTCATTCTAAATTTTCCCACCTTGGGTTTCATTTTTCGGATGGTTGGGCTTCCCGATTTGCTTGTTTCTGCACAGAAACGTACTATATGAATTGTCCCAGAGATATTTCTGGCTCCTGCATATCTCTTGCTCCTACACTGCACTCAGAATAGTTGGAAAATTTATCAATGAATCATTCCAAAGATAGGCTAATTCCCCAAGGCAGGCATCATTGTGACCCTTTGGCATGCAGTAAGTACCCCATCAATGTCTGTTAGTATGTGGGTCTACAAAGCAGGAACCTTCTGAAACTCAAATATACAGGCCTGTGTGGTGGTGTCTTCTAGGGCAAAGAGTGCTCGCAGCCAAGCTCCATCATCCGAGAAGCCCCTTGTCTCTGCTTTCACCCATGCTTCCCCAGCTTGCATGTGTTTCAGGGCTTCACACCTACCAGAGAATGATTGGCTGTGAGTTGCTGGAAGATGGTAGCACCACGGGGTTTCTCCAATACGCATATGATGGGCAAGATTTCATCATCTTCAATAAAGACACCCTCTCCTGGGTGGCTGTGGATAATGTGGCTCACATCACCAAGCGGGCATGGGATGCCAATCTGCATGAGTTGCAATACCAAAAGAACTGGCTGGAAGAGGAATGCATTGCCTGGCTGAAGAGGTTCTTGGAGTATGGAAAAGATACCCTGGAAAGAACAGGTAAAGAGAAGAGAGAACATTGTTCTCACGTCCCAAGAAAAACCGGCTTTGTGTCTAGCTTCCTCTTCTGCAGGTGATATTCACTCTGTGCTGAAATCCATCTCTTGGTTGGACTGTTCTGACCTGTAAGCCCCCAAGAGAACTCTCATTAGTTATATTTTTAGCAGCATCTTGACAAGCCTTAGCAATTCCACTTGTCTTGACAGAATGTAGTGCCTCCAAGGGCACCTCTATCAAGAAAAGTCCTCCGTCTCCTGTCAGGGAGAGGTTGGGAAAAGCTTTCAAAAGCCGGGCAGTTGTTGCAAATTATTTAAGAAGCAGGGGTTCACTGGGGTGTGAGCGAAAAGTTGGCCTATGAAGAGGAGCTGAGGAGGACTGGGTTTTCCTTACTTGGGGATTAACAGGACGATTCTTCTGGGTATACAGCTCATCTTCTGCCATAACTACATGATGCTACTGGTCAACTTCAGCAAACTGCAGAATGTTTCCTGTTTGATGGGATGATTCAAAATGTTTCAGGAAATTCCCTGAACACTATAGTCCTTTTCCCATGAGAGTAAGGTCCACTGGGGGGGACTCTCCAGAGCTGTGGCAAGCCCAGGGTGGAGAGGAGCCGTTTGGACCACAGTTGTAAACATGTCTAACTGTACCGGCTTTGGAGGCAGACCATTCGGGCCTCACATTGGCTTTCCTCCCTCCTTGCAGAATAACTGTCATAGGCTCAGTGGTTGCAGTTAACAAACCCATTTCAAGCAGGCTCGAGCACATCCTATCTGAAAACAAGAATCAGAGCAGCGCGGGGACCTAAGAAGCCAAAAACCAATATCTGAATGCTTTCATCCATGGGGAGTGAGGGAGGGCCGGCCAGGCGGCCAAAGCTACCAGTACAAATGTCACATATTCGTGGCTTCTCCATTCCACAAGACAGGCTACTGCCTCCGAGTACTTGTTGCCTAAATAAATAAATCACAGGAGAACTGTGACTGGCCTGAGTTGGATCATATGTGGCCTCTTTAGCTAATGACTGTGACCGTCAGAAAAAGCTTCAAAGATTTGCAGCGGGCAACAGCGTTGTGGCAATGACCAATGGTACAGCCAACAAGGTCTAACTGAGGAGATTCACCAGGGATGTCTAGTGGGGTCTAGTGGGGACCCCAGTAAGGGGTTGGGGAGAGCCTGAAGAAGGACACCATGGGAACACCATTGCGCTGGCATGATCTGAAGGGCAGGGAAGAGGAGACATAGCTAACAGAGCCCCGCAAAGGTCGATGTGTGGAAAGGGGATCCTTACGGTGAGAGGCGTGGCTGCGGGGGGGATGTGGCCCTGGGCAGGACTGCAGCGTGGTAAGATTGGTACTTCATCATCAGCTCGCTGCTCTCTGGCTGAGACAGTCCAGCAGGAACCCAGCAGCAGAGCAGTTCTAGAGATACAGTGTGAAGGCCTCGGCAGACCAGAGAAGGGCAGAGGCTAGATCCGGGGGGCCCACCAACAGACACTAGCTGTTACGCACTGTTTGGGTGATGGTGAAAGAGGGGGAAATTAAGATGAATACCTCGTAGGAGCTCGTGTCATGAAGGCTTGGAGTTATGTCTCAAAATGGGCTGTTGTTTGGCAGGAGGAGTCCCTCCTGTCAGGAAAAAGTGAAGCTTCTAGAAGGTAAGCCAGCAAAGCTCCAGTCTTGAATAAAATAGGGCAATTGTGCCTACTTCACAGAAATTAGTGAAAAATAATATGGATGAAATGTCTGATAGCCTAGGTCTGGTTAAAATCTATGGCCAGTCTTGGCCACCCTTAACTACTGGGATGTTTTAGGCTGATGCTCATCAGATAGGGAAAGGGGAAATAGTTTACTTTCTGACTTGGGTATGTCTGCCACAGAGCTGTGTTGGTTATCCTTCTCACCTCTGTAACAGAACGCCTGAAACAAGTGATTTAAGAGTAGGAAAGATTGCTCACAATTTCAGAGGTTTGGGTCCATCCTGGCGGGAAGGATGTGGTGAAACAGTTTACATCACAGTGCACAGGAAGTAGAGGGAGAGAGAAGGGCCAGGGCAAAATACAGCGCCCAGGGATTCCCCACAGGGGCCTACTTCCTTTAGCTAGGCCCCACCTCCTGGGCTTTCCAGAACCTCCCAAAGTAACACCGACATCTAGAAAGCATGGATTTAACACATGAGCCTGTGTTTATATTTTTATATTTATATTCAAGGCATACTGGTAGCATTTGCCCCCGTCACCCGGCCTGCTGCTTGTCCTGAGTACAGTACCAGGCAAAAGGTTTGAAACGCAATCAGAGTAGCTAAAATTTGAGGTTTAGAGGTCGCTAGCTAATTCTGTGGATCCTGCCTGGCTCAAAAGCTGTTTGGATCAACCAAGAGGAAGCTGAATTGCGTGGAAAGAATGTGGAAAGTTTGACTTCAGTGTACATGGTTCCCTTTCCCTATCTTGAGTGTCATAGTGGTGTCTCAGCCTTTTGGTCAAAACCCATGTCTTGGGAGGTAGATTCATTTCTTGCAAGCATAGTAAAAAAAAAAATTCTGTTGGCAGTGTTTTATTTTGAATGTTGGGAAGTCTTTTCCTACAACTAAATCCCATGCCTCAGGTAAAAGACAAAGGAGGTATGTCTGTGATGAAGGCTCTTCCCTGTATCCACAATGTCAGACGATAAGGTAGAGACGAGGAAGTGGGTCTCACATGAGTAGGAAGGTTCTCCAAACAGTGTCGTTGGTTTTGATATGGCTCCATGACCAGTTTCAGTTGGAAATATTAAGATGATACCATATGGAACATGAACATATTAAGTCATAAGGTAGCAAGGGATAATAACCCTGGGCTGGGCATGGTGGTACCTACCCATAATCCTAACATGCAGAAGGCTGAGGTAGGGAGATTGCCAGCTCAAGGCCATCTTTGGGCAGAGAGATGATGTCCCCTCCCTCTCCCATCATTGTTAGAGCCCTTCTGTAATGTTAATTTCTGTAGCTTCTCTGAGGGCACATGAACTATGACATGTGCTTGTATCTGATTACAGCTATCAGAGCACCAATCTGATGGCGGGGCGCGATTCAGAGCCTCTGTTGACCTGAGTTAGCTGTGGTTTTTCATTGTCACTAAACACAGAATTGGGGTCCATCGCATTCTAATCTCCAATCTCTTGGTGATTTACTTATCAAGACAGTCATTTACACATGTTGTGACCTGCTTTTCCTTGACACATAAGGGTATCTCAAAGGTGAACAGTCAACAACTCCAATACACTCTCCAAATACTTGATGCTGTATGCCTTTTCTCCCCTTAGAAACAAAATGTGGCCGGGCGGTGGTGGCGCACGCCTTTAATCCCAGCACTCGGGAGGCAGAGGCAGGCGGATCTCTGTGAGTTCGAGGCCAGCCTGGTCTCCA